CCATCTTAAAAAAAAAACAAAGACGCATGAAATTTCCGCACGGTGAAAACTCGTCTGTTGATAGAAGGTGCTCGCTGATTTCCCCTAGAGAGAAAGAGATTGAGGAGGAATGCTAACGCTCTCCTAGATTGGTTCATTAATTAGTTACGCAGAGTATTGCACTAGAACCGGTTCCCTTGAGCTGATACGTTACTCCAATGGTCGATGTTAAGGCTAGTTTGTTTATATCACTGTTTTGTTTCTCCGTTGTTTGTTCTCTTTTTTCCAACATATAACTCACGCACAGCAGTTTGCCTTCATCTTCTCCTTGTTACTTTGAGAAAACTTAGACATCAGCATTTTGTGGCTGATTTTGTGAGGGAAATTCATTATCAATTGTGACGCCACTTTATAAGTGACGGCTGCAAGACTGAGAAAAAAGTAGTGCACAGATAGTGTTTTAGAAAGTTTCAAACAACGAATGAGTTAAGTTATTTAAGTTTTCTCAAAAGAAAATTAATAATAAATCCAAAGGTTTTATTCGTGAGCATGCACCGCGCACAGCCAAGAATGCGGAACGATTTAAAGGTTTTGCCACTCTAATAACTTATGAAATCTTACCCTGCGAGATTGAGGTCCTCTTGTCTTTCCTCTCGCCCACAAGAGGAACACCTAAACGCATTGCCCCTGCGCGAGTTCGACACAACCATCTCTGGACCAGTCTCGAGCCCAGGGTCATTTCGGTCCCTTGTCAGCGGTATGGTCCATGCCGCTGAGAAGAAGCCGTGATGACCCTTGGCTCGCGAGATTGTTTCGGGACGAGAATGTGATACTTGATACGTCAATGTATCCCACTAATTTATCAGTAAGAGTCGATCGCTGTCTCACAGGGTAACCAAATATCAACGTGCTGTAGATATTTCAAAGTGGCCAAACTAGAGCGTGAAGTCAGCAGATAGTGCACTCGTCAGGTCCTGCTCATTTAAATTATTTGTACAATTTTTCATGTTTATCACAAGGAGATTATTTTCATTATGTTATCATTTACAATTTAAACCTCCCACGTTTATTTTCCAGTCGCATTTACCGGTAACAAAGAAGGATCCACTTGATCTTATCTCGTTGCCAAAAATGTTTTTTCGTACTCTGAACTTCAAGTGATAAAATGACTAGGACTTGGTAGGAATATTAGCTGGAGCCAACCGTTAGATGCCTGGCTGATAAACAATCAATTGATTCACCATTCAAAAGCGAAAATTGAAAGCGTACTCACAAAGAATTCGAGTACCATGTATTTATTCTTATCTTCTATTTTCTTGATAATCTATTATTTCTAAATTATTAACATTTTATTATTTGACAATCCATATACTGTAGTTACAAGGCCATTTGCTTTACAGATATATCTCTTAGTCCACTTTCATCATAAAATTCAGAGGAGCGGTTGTCTGTTTTAAAGAGACAGAGTTCCTCTTTCTTTCACTGTGGAATCAGGGATAATCATTTCAAATCAGAAAATGGCAAATTCGATTGCATCTTAATTTGTCACGCAAATTGTTCTCAAGAAAAATGTATTCACTGGATTCATTCATTTTTATCGCATGAACCATGAAAATTTAAGAAAGAAAACAAATAATACTTAAGAATTAAATCTCATTATCAAATCTATTTCTTTTCTTTATGTCGCTAGAGCGAACCGAAACGAGGAGAAAAAATTTCTCAATGTCAACATTTAAGGGGGTGTGACTTTTTATCCTTAAAGGAGAATGTGCTGTGACTATCAAAACGTTTTGTCATTGCTATAGAACAAGTCCTTGCTGCAAAAATCATGAACCTAGAACCCACTAGTGCGTTTTTCGATATTTGGCCCGAAAGTTTTCTTTTTTTTTTTTTTAATGATGTTAACACTGCAGAACGTGTAAGTGCGTTCTTTTCAATAGTTACCAGAAACCCCGGCTTACCTGAACCTGCATGTCATTGAAAGATTTTGAAATGTAGTGGCTAAATCACTGATATGACGGAATTTGTGTGATAATTACTCAAACGACAGCCTCAGTCTCGTAAGGTGTCACGCAACGTTACCCTCCCTATGGGAGCATTGCGTGACTTTTCGATCACAGTATCTCCCCACTGAATTTTATTTGACTAGTTAGATTATAACCAGTATTGCTTGTTAAGAGTACCGATAATAAGTAGAAGATTTTTAAAACGTAATACCATTCAAATGCGTAATTTTATAAAAATTTTATCTTTTACCACATGTTTGTACTTATAGTTTTCCCGCTTAAAACAGTCAACAAAAGAGACTGACCAAAGTTATATCGCGAGAATCTTAGAGATGTCAGAATTGTATTACATCTAAATATAGGAGGACTTATTGGTTAGCACCACTGTTTTACCTTGTTGACTGTCTTACGCTGGAACACAAGTTTGTGATAAGAGATTATTGAACGTATTTTATTCAAAAATGGAGAGTAAGTATATATTTTCAAAGGTTTCTTAAAATCGTTCAAAACTTTGAGAGAAATCTTGATGCAAGTGAGATGTTTTGTATGTGTTGCGATCTTTAGTGGATAGTGGTTTAAATGGTGCCGCGCGTAGAAACAGAAGATCTTCACCTTTGGCGGTGAATTGTACAGGCAATATCGATATCATACACTAGGCAAGATTTTGATGCTATAAAACTGTCATGTTTCACCCCAGTTGCTCTTTTATTTTTCTAAAATTATAAGGCACGTTAAAGGTATGAAATGGTAGACGACTTGAGAAAAGTTTGACCAGTTTCTTCGTTACTTACAGAGCAAATGATAGTTTGGTATAGTGGGACGATTTGTTTTATGTTCGTTCATTGAAATCTATATGGAAGGAAAATCAATCTGTAGTGTCAATTGCTTGTCCTAGTGTTAAAATTTAAAGTGCCACTGAAATAGTTCATTGCAGCTCTCACCATAAACCATGCTAAGAGCGAATTAGTGTAGAAAAGTATAGGCTATAAGTCCCCAGGGGGAGTCTTACATAAACTGGCAGAGTCTCGTACGGAGAATTTGTAATATCAAACAAGAGAAAGATCTGAAAGCACCTAAGAGTAGTGTCGACTCCTCCTGGGTAATGAGTACGTAGTCCATTTGAAGCGTTGGTTTCATCAGATGAAACCGTTTACTACTAGTTTTAATCTACCTAGTCATGCTGTGTTTAACACTCGGAAATCTAGTCCTTGAAAGATGTATATGGCTGTATTTGAATGAATAAAATTTGTACAGAGAGGTTTGTGTCTCATTTTCTTTCCTTGCATTAGTATGTCCCTTATAAATGTATTTTCGGGAGATTAAAGGGAAATTCAATCTCCAATAAACGCTTTTAACATTAAATAATAGCAGTGGTTTACAACTTTTGTTATTCCACTGTTACGCCAATTTACCATATTAGGGCAACGGATCAAGCAAAAAAAGCCACAGTATTGCTATATCAGTAGCTGCAGGAAGTAAAAATCGGGTCTTAGATTTGGAGTCTGCCCAAGACAATTAGTCACAACCGAATTTTCTTAAGTTGATGAAGTGAACCATATTTTCTAAGGTATGGGGCTTCACTCGCGTTTTTTTGCTGGATGATGCTCCGCTATACAATCGTCAAGCCCTAAACTTAAGGAAAAATAGACAGTTAAAGACTGCATGTGGCTATTGGTAAAGCACAATTTTATGGCATTGAAAAGAACTAGAGATTCTATAATGAGGCTAGAAGGTAGTGTTTCATAGTGTTTGTCTCAAATGCAAAATATAAAACCTGCCGCATCCCACACATATTCATGAGTACCCTGTTCCACAAGGGAGAGAAAATTCAAGAATATATTTTATTATATAAAGTACGGCGCTATACAAGGACTCCAGCCCTGACAAAAGTCTTAACAACACACCTGAAAAAGTATCTTATTTTTTCTCAATCCTAGGTCGTTTGTCGTAATTTTTTTCGGATTATGGCTGTTAAAACACTGAAAAATCCGAATCGCTTACAGACAATGACGTTCAAACTTTCCTAGAAGGGGAAGAAAATCAAAATACGGAACGCACGTTCATGTATTATTCTCTAGGTCTAATTGACTTTCAACCAATAATTAAATGGTAACAAATAATTATATTAACAATATAACAATTATAACAATAGTAATTTGATAATAATTTAAAGGGACTAGCTCAAAAGCCTTATGGTTCCCCAATGTTTACACACCTAATAATGCTTCTTCTAGGAAACTTTTGTTTTTACCATGTTTATCGTCTTTAGCTGTCTTCCGTAGTGTCACGGCAAGAAACGACAACATAATGTGCTTGTGACAACAACAACAACAACAACAAACTTAAGTGCTTGAACAGGATGAAAATCTTTGTCAAGGGGTGTAATTCTGTAATCTTACGTGTTTGGAAACTTATTTAATGTAAATTGAAAAATGGAATATTGTCACTGGCAAAAAATCTGAATAAACATCATATGAAATAAACGCCCCCTACCCCTCCCTTGGCAGTATTTGCGAGCCTACTCACCGAAGAAGTCTCGGCGCGACTTTGAATTCGCGAACCAATATGGCGTCCACCGAAGATTGGCGTAGTCCTGCTTACCGTCAGAAAGTTATTTTACAGATGTAAGTATTTCAGCTTTTCCTTCCTTCAAGTTATAGTATTTAGGGTAAAATTTCCGCACAGCCCCATACTATTGTTAAACAAATCTGTTTTCCCAATGGTAATGTATTGTTTTTGTCGTTGTTTTCTCTATCCAAGAACTGAATGCACAATGTACTATGGGGCTGTGCAGAAATTTTACCGTATTTAAGAGCGGTCGTGTTTTTTCTTAGTTCGATAGAGATTGTTCCACTCTTTGTGTTTTATGCGCCTTTTCAACTCTTCGCACATACTTCCGCTTGTAGCG